AGAAACTTTTGACTCTCGTGGTGGTTAGTTTATATAATGAAAGAGCACATAATTCTATATCATATTACCCCTCAATTATTTTCTTCGCTAATAGTTATAATTAATGATATATTTCGTAGCTTAAGGAGTCTGTGTCACCGATCTGAAGGATATAATTATCATTTGTGTGTTGTACCGACCGTTGTGTTGTTGTTGGACAGGTAGACGAGGAGGACCTGGCTGTAAGCGTCAAGTGGCTCCTCTCTCAGCAGGACGACAACACAGGCTGCTTCAAGTCCGTCGGCAAAGTCATTCACAAAGACATGATGGTGAGTTGCGGCTAACCTAACCTAACCATATTTATCATAATTTAACCTAAACTAACCATATTTGACATAATTTCACATAACCTAACCCGATATAACTTAACTTAACCTAACCATACCTAACAAAACCTAACCACTATTAATCTGTATCTGAAAACCTATAATGTGGACAGGGTATTTGCATGCAAACAACATTTACCTGTACGTGCAGGGATTCGAACCCAGACCACTAAGGTAGGCAGTCAGGCAGCCATCCACTGGACCACGATGGACTAAAAGCTACCTCTCCTTAGCCGTTCAGTTGCAGCTCAAAGTCCCAAGCTCACAGGTGAAATATTCTTACAAATTGTATATGTGCAGGGAGGCGTCAGCAGCGGCTCAGACGGGTTTCTAGGTTGTCTCACGGCCTACGTGGTGATCGCTCTGACGGAAACTGGCCACCATAACTCTCCGTCAGCCGTCTCCAACGCCCTCCAGTGCATCCTCAACGACGCTACTCCTCACAACTACTACTCCGGAGCTATCAAGGCATACGCCCTCGCCTTGACTTCATCTGCCGACGTCGAGAGTTACATCGCCCTCGCCTACGCCCTTCTCCAGAAAGAACCTAAGGACGTGAGTAAAGGTTCCCAGGTAGAGGCGGCTGGCTACCTCATGCTAGCCATGATGAAGGTAGACTCGGTGCGTTACGCTAATGAAGGTTTCCTCTTGGCCAAGACGATCACGGCGCATCGCAATGGCCAGGGAGGCTTCGTCAACACTCAGGTCAGTCCACACACACACACACACACAAAGATACAAGATGAAGACATTAAATTAAGATGTAGCAGAGTTCTTTTGTGAAATATTTACACCACCTTTCGCCATCGACCGCCGCTATAGGGAACTATAATGCTCAGTGTGACTCAAATTTATTTCTCACGGGCAGGACACTGTGGTGGCGCTAGAGGCCCTGGCAGCGTTCAACCAGGTGTACCCGCCCTCAGACACTAACCTACAGGTGACCGTAACAGCAGGCAACCAGAGCACTGCGTTCAACATCACCCAGGAGAACAGACTCCTCCTCCAGACACAACACATTACAGAGCCTCTACCATATAATGTCTCCGTTACGCCCTCTGGTGTAGGTTGTGTGGTGATGATGGTAAGTGGTTTAGAGTTTGGACATAGGTTATATATCCCCGTGTGACTCACCCGTAAGATAGTCTGAATTGTTCTTTGTAGCCAGGCAGTTACTTTTGTACTGAAGTGTTTACTCTGACTCAGCAGAAACAACTCCAAGTATGTTGTTGTTTACGTGTAGATGCAGAAAAGGTGACAGTTAACATATAGTGAAGGGATAAGATGCCATCCTCAAAGGGTTAAGATGTCTTACTCAAGGGGTTAAGATGTCTTCCCAAAGGGGTTAAGATGTCTTCCTCAAGGGGTTGAGATGTCTTTCCCGAGGTGTTAAAATTTCCTCCTCAAGGGGTTAGGGTGTCTTACTCAAGGTGTTAAGATGTCTTACTCAAGGGGTCTAAAAATGTATTCTTCAAGGAGTTAAGGCATCTTCCCCAAGGGGTTAGGGTGTCTTACTCAAGGTGTTAAGATGTCTTACTCAAGAGGTTTTAAGATGCATTCTTCAAGGGGTTAAGCCATTAAGAAGACATCTTCAAAGAGTTTTCAATGAGATTTACAAACACTATTCTACCCTGCCACCGTGATGCTAACTCTCTCGCTTACTTTTCCTTATTTATCGCTACCACTACAGGCCGTTCACCGATATAATATACCCGAGGAACCCAAGAGTGAAGCCTTCAGTATGAACTTCACGGCCACTCAAGTTTCATGCTCGAGCTCCGCCCTCCGAGTCTGCTTTGCTTACCTCCTCCAAGATAACTCCTCCAACATGGCCGTCCTCGAACTCCACCTTCAGACTGGCTACCTCGCTCTCGAAAAGGACCTTGAGTTACTGCTTGAGAAGGAAATTATCAAGAGGTTTGATGTAATTATTCTAAGTTTGTTGGTGTGTGCTATTGACATCTTGTGAGGGATTTCTTTAGGGGTGAGTAACTATCTAAGAGACGCCATATTGTCAACATATTCAGTAATTCTACCTATATTATTGAGATGTTACATAATATGCATTTAATACTACTGCAGTAAAACTACATATAAAGCACACCCGAAAAGGCTTCTCACAATATGAAAAAAAATTTCCATAAACAGTATTGAGTCAACTTAGTACCTCTGAAATATATAACTGAATTACTCATTAATTTACACATAGTTTATACATTACTGTGACTCTCTCTCTCTCTCCTTCCCTCCCTCCCCTATCCCTTTTCTCCCTTCCTCCCCCCCTCCTCTCCAGATCGAGGAGGCTATAGTGCAGCTGTACTTGGAATCTGTAAGTAGAGATGAAACGTGTGTAGAATTAGAAGTACTTCAGAAGACAGTATTGGAGGACCCTCACCCCGGTACGCTCACCTTATATGACTACTATGAGCCACATCTGAGGTTAACCAAGGTAAGTTGAGGCTCTTTAGTCTCAACCTAATTCATTGTATTTCCTCATGTTCGTGGCCTTGTGCCTGTACGTGTGTCTGGGTATGTGTCCGCGTTAAAGGTCAGAATAAAACTGTCTGGTCAGAATCTATTTCATCAACATATACGGTATAACGTTCAGGGTAATTCGTATCATTAGTGTATGCAGGATGTGTGTATTAGATGTATTAAGGGTGTATGTGAGGGTGTATGTATGAGTGTATTTAGACAGCAGAACTTGTATGATTTGTATTGTCATTATTGCATACTTATCACTGGTACTTTGATCATAATTATTCTTCCTCGTTGACAGAAATTTACACTTGAGAAGAATGGATGTTAGGTGCCATCGTGGACGACTATGATGACTACGACGACTACCACTATGATGACTACCACGATGACAACTAACACAATGACGATTACCACGATGATGACTACCACGATGACGATTACCACGATGACGATTACCACGATGACGATTACCACGATGACGACTACCACGATGATGATTACCACGATGACGATTACCACGATGACGATTACCACGATGATGACTACCACGATGACGATTACCACGATGACGATTACCACGATGACGATTACGACGATGACGATTACCACGATGACGATTACCACGATGACGAGTACCACGAAGACGATTACTACGATGACGTTTAAGACGGCTATGGCCACGACTACGACAAGAATAGCCAGGACAAATCTCAACAAGATGTCAAGGGTTTACCAGTATGTACGTGTGATAACAACAGTCAACAGTGATACCAACAGTCAACAGTGATGCTAACAGTCAACAGTGATACCAACAGTCACTAGTGATGCTAACAGTCAACAGTGATACTAACAGTCAACAGTGATACCAACAGTCAACAGTGATGCTAACAGTCAACAGTGTTACCAACAGTCACTAGTGATGCTAACAGTCAACAGTGATACTAACAGTCAACAGTGATACCAACAGTCAACAGTGATACCAACAGTCAACAGTGATACCAACAGTCAACAGTGATACTAACAGTCAACAGTGATACCAACAGTCACTAGTGATGCTAACAGTCAACGGTGATACTAACAGTCAACAGTAATACCAACAGTCATCAATGATACTAACAGTCAACGGGATACCAACAGCTGACAGAAAGACATAGTAAAGAATTGTTACTAAGTTTAGCAATATTCCTGTCATTATTATCAATTAAATTATGCAAGTATTTCTTGCTATTATTTTGATTTATATTGTAAAGTAGCATCATAATTTTGTGTTTTATTTCATTATTATTCGTTTTCAATCAAATATATATTAATCAAAGGTGTCAATTTTGTTTTGCTATTACCAATGTTTACATAAACCTATAGTTATCTTAAAGAGGAGACAACACACTATACTTTGTTTAACAGTTTTAGGGGGGGACTTTTATCCTACAAGGTGGTCATTTAGACACCATTACGTCGCTAAACTATACAGAGATTTACCTCCCTCTTGTGTTGTGACCAGTGAGGCATTCTCTCTCTCACCCCGTTAGCCAACAGTGTACCGAGTCAAGGACGGCGAACGCACCCCCAACGACCACACTGGTGCCCTCACATTCTACCTAGCAACCAAACCTTAGGGAACACGCAAATGACGCCGACCACATTAAGCAACTATTGTTATCTTACACAGACAACATCAACCAAGTTCGACCGCGAATTACCACTCAAACTCATTACAACCTTCCCATAATGATTTCTTACATAAGACGCCATACTTAGTGGTGTGTCGTTTTGTGCACTACCCTCTCGCTTCCCTTCCATACGATAATTTAACCTGTTGAGTACGATAATTTAACCTGTTGAGTACGATAATTTAAGCACTTGCGTTCGATAGATTTACCCTTAGACTTGGAGTATGATAATTTAACTTGTTGAGTACGATATCTTATGGGGTCCCTCCGGAAACAATACTTATGGTTAAGTTAATAACTGATAAGCCGTAAAAAGCATGAGATCATATTTTTTTACACTTCTGAGTAATTTCTGATATTGATATATAAATAATTGTATCTTTTATCTGTATCAGCATCAACATATCCTCCCTGAACTCTTTATGTAAACTATTAGTCTCACAGTGGCCAGCTGGGAGTACTTTCCTCGCTGGCTGTAAGTGAGAGGAGACCCCGCCTCATCCTTGTGGCCGCTTGAAGGTACTCCCTCTCTCTGGTTCTCTCCTTGCTGTCCGCGCATGCGCTTGGGTCTCGCCTCGTCAGGTACCGTATATAAGCATGTAGGACCCCAGCAGCAGTACAAGTTCTATTGCCAGCGAATCGTCAAGAACTAACCATCTTTCAACGTAAGTTCAGGTGGCAAACTTTACAGCCTTACTGAATAATTGAAACTCTTGTCTGGCTTTCAAAAATTCGTAAACAATATTTTTATTCCTTCTCAAAGACTAAAACAGCAAATGTTGCAACTGTAGCATTACTGCAATTGTGACAATATTCTCCCCCTCACCTTTATGTAGCAGCCAAATCTAGCCAATACAATCTTTCACGTGTTTAATTAGGAAACCAAAGTAAGAAAGTTTCAGACTAAGGACCCAGTTCTTCCGTTGTGGTTGTGTAACTACACTAATGTCTTCACTCCCCCAGATGCACCGTAACACATTCTTCGCTCTGGCCGTCGCCTGTGGCCTCCTCCACCTCACGAGCTGTATTTTCGTACTTGAGACCACCGGCGCCCTGACTGCAGCAACAATCTCACTTGGCGCAGCCTCCTCAACCACCGCTGCCGCAGCTGCCTTTGCTGGTGTGGGTGCCCTGGCCCTCGCTGGTGTCCTGGTAGCCACCCAGGCCGCGTCCTCCAAGGGTAAGCGCAGCGCCCCTACCTGTCTACCTGTTAGCAACCCCGACCTGTTTTTCACCCTGGCGGCCAACTCAGACAAGCTGGGGTGCGGGATGCGTCTGGTGTGTGAGCTGGAGTCCACTCCTGACGAGGCTCTCACCCACCAGGAGAAGCTCATCCTAGGGCTTTTCGGCCGTACTCCCGTCCCCGTCAACTTCGAACAGCTTAACTCCCCAAAAGCTGGCTTCCAGTATGCTGCTTTCGTTGGTGCTAAAGCTGCCTCTCCCGCCGAGTGTGCCAAGACCTTCAACCTGTGCCCCTTCGACCGTGTCACTATGATCAAAGCCTTCCAGAAGAACGGCATCAATAGCCTCTGAAACTCTTAACGTGAATATTTATCGGCGGCAATTCCCTTCCTGCCAGCCGGCTGTCTTGTAGTGACGTTGGTTGACCTTGTAGTGCCTGGCACCTGGTCACCTCTTATAGGTGACCCTACTTAAACTCAGGTATAGGTCAGGTCAGAGCCGTCAACTAGTCACTGTACAATCACACTTCTGTCACTTTGTTTACAGATGAAAAGTTCACTTCAGTTTCATCACCACAAATGCTTCTTTATAATAAATTATACGACACATAATGTATTGTTGACTTTTTAAGGAGATTCACCAAACAGTCTTATAGCAGCAGAAAGTTCACTGCTTACGTCCCCCATGAGGTCTAACGCAACATATTTCTTCCAAATGTTTCAACTCGAAAACAAGTTGACGAATTAGACATTCAAAAAACATTATAAACAAAAACTTATATTAAATGTGGGTTTAGTTTTCCAAGTCGGAATTTACGAAACTGAATATGTTGATGTTTCATGAGTAATGAACACTTGTAATACTTTTAACAAAAAGAAATACAGAGTACCGTATGTGGTCAACGAGACTGATGGAAACAAAAATATGATCCCAATAAATATTTAAGAATTAAATGTGTAATCCAGTTACATTTATATCATGGCATTGAAAAATAATTAAACATCATTGGATAATTGGTACACACAGCTACACTATACTAGTTGGTACACACAGCTACAGTATACTAGTTGGTACACACAGCTACACTATACTAGTTGGTACACACAGCTACACTATACTAGTTGGTACACACAGCTACAGTATACTAGTTGATACACACAGCTACAGTATACTAGTTGGTACACACAGCTACACTATACTAGTTGGTACACACAGCTACACTATACTAGTTGGTACACACAGCTACAGTATACTAGTTGGTACACACAGCTACAGTATACTAGTTGGTACACACAGCTACAGTATACTAGTTGGTACACACAGCTACACTATACTAGTTGGTACACACAGCTACAGTATACTACTTGGTACACACAGCTTCAGTATACTAGTTGGTACACACAGCTACACTATACTAGTTGGTACACACAGCTACAGTATACTAGTTGGTACACACAGCTACAGTATACTAGTTGGTACACACAGCTACAGTATACTACTTGGTACACACAGCTACAGTATACTAGTTGGTACACACAGCTACAGTATACTAGTTGGTACACACAGCTATAGTACATAAGAACATAAGAAAATAAGGAGTCTGCAATAGGCCGGTTGGCCTGTGCATGGCAGCTCCTGTCGAGAGTTACTACCACTCTCTATCATCCATGAATCTATCTAGCCTCCTTTTGAAACTTTCCAGCATTACAGCACTTACTACAAAGTTGCTAAGCTTGTTCCACTCGTCCACCACCCTATTTGTGAACCAGTTCCTTCCTATCTCCCTCCTAAACCTAAACTTACCCAACTTAAATCCGTTGCTACGAGTCCTATCCTGCTCGAATATTTTAAGAACTTTATCTATATCTCCTTTATTGATTCCTTTCACCCACTTAAATACTTCTATCATATCTCCCCGAACGCTTCGTCTTTTTAAGGAATGCAAGTTTAGTTTCTTTAGCCTATCTTGATATGGAAGGTTTCTAAGTCCGGAATCATTTTCGTCATTCTTCGCTGCACTGACTCCAGTGAATTGATATCCATTCTATAATAAGGGCACCAGAACTGAACCGCATAATCGAGGTGCGGCCCGATTAGCGCAAGATATAGTTGCACTAAGTCCTCTGCACTCTTATTACTTACACTTCTAGATATAAAACCCAATACTCTGTTTGCCTTATTTCAAACATTTTCGCACTGTTTTCTAGGCCGTAGCTCCGGACTTACAAGTACCCCTAAGTCTCTCTCACAAGTCGACTTCTCTAAGTTGATGTTGTTATGGCTGTATACATTGACAGTATTTGTTCTTCCAATTATTAAGTACGCTGCACTTGCTGATATTGAATTTCATTTGCCATTTTTCTGAACATTTCTGCAGTGTATTTAAAGCCTCCTGTAGTGCATTTGCATCCTGTCCTGAATTAATCTGCCGCCCTATTTTGGTGTCATCTGCAAACTTGCTTATGTCACTGCTGATCCCAGTTTCCAGATCGTTTATGTAGATTATGATCAAGACTGGGCCCAGTACTGACCCCTGGGGAACTCCACTGGTTACACAACCCCACTCAGATTTAACACCACCTACGCTGACCCTCTGTGTTCTATCGGTGAGCCATGATTTTATCTAATTTAAAACTTTCCTCTCGATACCATGAGCCTTCTAGGCAGTATACTTGTTGGTACACACAGCTACAGTATGCTAGTTGGTACACACAGCTACAATATACTAGTTGGTACACACACCTACTAGTTTGTATATAGTTCTATAAGTTATGACAACACTGACCAATCTTCCAGGGATTTCAACTCAACAAATTCATTTAGTTTGCACCGATTCCTTAAGTTTTTACTAATAAGAATTATGTAATAACCCAGCATATGAACAGGTACATCAATTAATATAGATCACCAGAAGATTAGCCCCAAGTGCTCACCTGAAGATTAGCCCCAAGTGCTCACCTGAAGATTAGCCCCAAGTGCTCACCTGAAGATTAGCCCCAAGTGCTAACCTGAATGTTAGCCTCAAGTGCTCACCTGAAGATTAGCCCCAAGTGCTAACCTGAATGTTAGCCTCAAGTGCTCACCTGAAGATTAGCCCTAAGTGCTCACCTGAAGATTAGCCCCAAGTGCTCAGCTCACCTGAAGATTAGCCCCAAGTGCTCAGCTCACCTGAAGATTAGGGCCCCAAGTTCACCCACCTGAAGTTTAAACACCTCGGCACTCCCTGGGGGATTAATCTTCAGGTGACGATAGACCTCAGTTGTCATCTGAAGATTACCGCCCAACGTACCCTACATGAAGTTCAACCGCCCTGTCGCCACACGGGGTACTAATCTTCAGATGATCCATAAATACTAAAATTGCGTAATGTCTCGGTCTGTTCCGCGGTCTGGTCCTCGGTCTGGTCCTCGGTCTCACAAGTCAGGTCTCGGATTACCTAACCTGGTTTGACGTGAATGTTTACTCGCATGTTATAAGTTATTAAAATTGATGTAACAATTTTTTTTCCTTCAAGCTTAGAGAATTCAGGGGAAGGAAATCAACTGGTAATCTCTAGTCTCTACCTGTCTGTAACAAGTGTAACATCCTTCCAGCAAGACAGCTTCATCGTCTTCTGGTCTCCAAAACTTCAAGAAACGGATACATAGGTTTATAAAGCTATTTCTAATTAACAATATAGTAAATAGAATTATTCTGTTAAATCCAAATTACCTCCCAACTACGACTTACATCAGTTTAAGTTAACCCATCAAGCCATATGATTCAATTGTCCTTATATTTAATTTTTTCCTCTTATTTTGTAAATATTTTAAGACTTGGGTGTTTGGTTGGGCAGTTTGTCTCCTCTTGGTCGTGTTAATTCTCATAAATAAATGTTAGTAGGGAGGAGGGGACGTGAGAGCTGAGAGGAAACACAAGATGGTGAGGCAAGGGTGAGATTCCCTCAAGCATAACGTGTCCCTTTATTATGCTACAGTCCTCCCCTAAAGCTCTAAGAATCCACTCAGAGAAAACGAAAGTGGGCGAGAAACAATGGTTCTTGAATTTCAATATATTTCTGTTTGTTTCCCAGCCCATTGTCAACTGTGGGGCAGAGTTGTTTGTCTGTCTTCCAGTAGACGCTGAAAAGTGTGGTGTTAGTACTGGAAGAGTGTAACGCCTTGTAAACACTAAAATTATGGCAGTATTGTGGACACGCGACCAGATACATCAGACATCATATAATTAATCTGTTTCATATAGATGTATAGAAATTACTTTACACAGACACATTAAGTTCCTCCTTCAACAATACATTTAACCTGAAGAGAGTTACAAATACATCATATTAGTGGCTCCCTCAAGGAGACACTTTCACTTTTGAGGGTAAGCCCAGAAAACTGTGAGGGGTAACTTTTTCGGTGTGAGAGTTGTGAACTCTTGGAACAATCTGCCAGGTTCATATACATTCAGGAGCCAGTGCATGCCTAGTACTTGCCAACAGTGCGTAACAAAGACGTGACCGATCGCCCAACCGGCTAACAAGCGATCAGTGGTGAAGAGGATAAAAGTTAAGTAAAGTATTGTGGACTAATCTGTGACCAAGGGATATCTACATATCTCTTGATGACGTAATGAGGTAAGCATCATCAGCAATGCTTTTGGGTCGCATATTCTCTATCATCCCGGTCCATCTTTGCGCTAACCCTCCGGAAACAATACTTATGGTTAAATTACTAACAGTGAAACCGTACATTAATATTGATATTGAAATTAGCGTTAGGTTACATAGTAGTTTTTACACTTCTGAGTAATTTCTGATATTGATATATAAATAATTGTATCTTTTATCTGTATCAGCATCAACATATCCTCCCTGAACTCTTTATGTAAACTATTAGTCTCACAGTGGCCAGCTGGGAGTACTTTCCTCGTTGGCTGTAAGTGAGAGGAGACCCCGCCTCATCCTTGTGGCCGCTTGAAGGTACTCCCTCTCTCTCTCTCTCTCTCTGGTTCTCTCCTTGCTGTCCGCGCATGCGCTTGGGTCTCGCCTCGTCAGGTACCGTATATAAGCATGTAGGACCCCAGCAGCAGTACAAGTTCTATTGCCAGCGAATCGTCAAGAACTAACCATCTTTCAACGTAAGTTCAGGTGGCAAACTTTACAGCCTTACTGAATAATTGAAACTCTTGTCTTGCTTTCAAAAATTCGTAAACAATATTTTTATTCCTTCTCAAAGACTAAAACAGCAAATGTTGCAACTGTAGCATTACTGCAATTGTGACAATATTCTCCCCCTCACCTTTATGTAGCAGCCAAATCTAGCCAATACAATCTTTCACGTGTTTAATTAGGAAACCAAAGTAAGAAAGTTTCAGACTAAGGACCCAGTTCTTCCGTTGTGGTTGTGTAACTACACTAATGTCTTCACTCCCCCAGATGCACCGTAACACATTCTTCGCTCTGGCCGTCGCCTGTGGCCTCCTCCACCTCACGAGCTGTATTTTCGTACTTGAGACCACCGGCACCCTGACTGCAGCAACAATCTCACTTGGCGCAGCCTCCTCAACCACCGCTGCCGCAGCTGCCTTTGCTGGTGTGGGTGCCCTGGCCCTCGCTGGTGTCCTGGTAGCCACCCAGGCCGCGTCCTCCAAGGGTAAGCGCAGCGCCCCTACCTGTCTACCTGTTAGCAACCCCGACCTGTTTTTCACCCTGGCGGCCAACTCAGACAAGCTGGGGTGCGGGATGCGTCTGGTGTGTGAGCTGGAGTCCACTCCTGACGAGGCTCTCACCCACCAGGAGAAGCTCATCCTAGGGCTTTTCGGCCGTACTCCCGTCCCCGTCAACTTCGAACAGCTTAACTCCCCAAAAGCTAGCTTCCAGTATGCTGCTTTCGTTGGTGCTAAAGCTGCCTCTCCCGCCGAGTGTGCCAAGACCTTCAACATGTGCCCCTTCGACCGTGTCACTATGATCAAAGCCTTCCAGAAGAACGGCATCAATAGCCTCTGAAACTCTTAACGTGAATATTTATCGGCGGCAATTCCCTTCCTGCCAGCCGGCTGTCTTGTAGTGACGTTGGTTGACCTTGTAGTGCCTGGCACCTGGTCACCTCTTATAGGTGACCCTACTTAAACTCAGGTATAGGTCAGGTCAGAGCCGTCAACTAGTCACTGTACAATCACACTTCTGTCACTTTGTTTACAGATGAAAAGTTCACTTCAGTTTCATCACCACAAATGCTTCTTTATAATAAATTATACGACACATAATGCATTGTTGACTTTTTAAGGAGATTCACCAAACAGTCTTATAGCAGCAGAAAGTTCACTGCTTACGTCCCCCATGAGGTCTAACGCAACATATTTCTCCCAAATGTTTCAACTCGAAAACAAGTTGACGAATTAGACATTCAACAAAAATTATAGACAAAAACTTATATTAAACGCGGGTTTAGTTTTCCATGTTGACATTTACGTTACTGTAAATGTTTCCAATAACTAGACAGTGGTTATAATGAAACTGAGTTATTTTAAACTTATATTAAAAGTTTTACTTAAATCATTTCTAAGGTTCACAATCCTTCATTACAGTATTCATCACTTCAAGACACTCTGGTTTAGTTCTTACCACACACTTGGCTACACTGCCATCCATCACTTGCCTTACTACACACTTGACACATTGCCATCCATCACCTGCCTTACCACACACTTGGCATCACTGCCATCCACCACTAGATCTCATCACTTATCACCTGCAAATGTAGGAACTTTTACCTTATTATATTAATATAACAAATTAGAATAATCTCTCCATTAGCTAGAATCTTCGACCCTGGAGCTGTCTGTTACTCGGATATTTTTTTATTAGTCTGAGAAATTCCGAGAAAAATCTCTCCGTTCCGGGTTTTCGAACGAACCTAACTTAGCCTCATTCCCCAAATAGTATTAGGATAATCGTGAGGTGAAATAAGCTGGGGTGGGGTAGCTTCTTAGTGTGATCTATCAATTGTTATAAAATACATTATATGGTGAAATATTTGTCAAGACGTCAGTAGTGGGGGAATTTCTTGAATCAATTATAGCAGATAGCATCCGATCGCATTTAGAGAAAAGCATATTAATCTACGACTCTCAACATGGGTTTACAAAGGGAAAATCTTGTCTAACAAATCTGCTGACGGTTTTTAGGAAAGTCTTCGAGGTAGTAGATAATGACGAAAATTACGATGTTATTTACTAAGACTTTCGCAAAGCATTTGACAGCACACACACACACACACACACACACACACAGTTCTCCAACACACACACACACACACACACAGTCCTCCAACACACACACACACACACACACACACAGTCCTCCAACACACACACACACACACACAGTCAGTCAGTCAGTCACACACACACACAGTCCTCCAGAGCCCTCCAACATGCACAGTCAGCCAGGTCCCACACACACACCCTCCACTGCCCCAGTGTAGGAGCACAGTGTTGAGTGGTTTATTGGCTGACCATACAGTAATAGTCAAGATAATATGTGAAGTAACTTAACTGATGAGGCTGTAGTAACATGCTGGGTGTTAAATGTTGCTCAAGGTTCTGTCACTTCTCCATTGGCCTTCAAGTACACCAGCTGTCACCTGCAACATGCTTAAAGTTGTAATTTACGTAGAATGAAAATTAAACTTGCAACTTCCATCTACCACTACACCACGTGTACTCACTGTCCCCAACTGCTTACATAAACCATTACCTCCACACTAAAACTATAGCATTTTTAGATCTCATGTTGTTCTCCCGACCTCCGTAAAGTGTCATTAATGCAAGAACGAATGTAAGTGTCGCCAAGACCAACACATGTGGTAACTCCAACGAGAACCAGGCCAGTAAGGTAAGAAATAAGGGATTCCAACATATGGTGAGAGTCAGTTAGATTAGGTCCGGTTTATGTTTTTATAGGGTTTTTTTTTTTTGCATTTTGCATTCGCCGAGCCAATATTTTTTTCGGAAAACGCCTCACCAAAAAAATCTATAAAAAACGACCAATTTCCGACGGAAATGGAGGTCATAACCAGGGCTGTGGAGTCGAAGACAAAACCTTCGACTCCGACTCCTCAAATTTTTATGCTCCGACTCCGACTCCGACTCCTTGGCCTATTTGTAACAACTATTTCTACCATCCTAATTGTAATTTGTATGTTGTAACCTGCATAGGTAAAAAGTAAAACACCGTGGCTATACTGCTACAGCTTTATTAATGATCTGGACGATATTTAAGAACTACAAAAAGATGATAGGCTTGACTTTCAAAGTTTCAATCAAAAGAAAAATAAATTTATTAAGAATTCAAGATATTAACTAGAAAACACCATTTACATGTATATCTAAAAGTTCGATCTCAGCATATGAATTTTGTTTAAGCTCATAATCTGATGTGGATCTAAATGATGATCCTACAATTCCTTTTAAAGTAAAGTTATATATTTATGTACATTAAAGAAATGAATACCTTATTAAGGAAAATGGATAAACCTTACATGATTAAGTTATTAAATTAAATTTGCCTTAATCTCACCAAAAACAGGTTGTAGCTAATTGTTTTGTAGCTGAGAGCCTCTGTGCAGTTTTCAACGAAACAAAATTTGATATAATTCAAAATTTCAAATGGTAAAGAAGAGACTATCGTCCAAAATTATAGTGCTATACTGTGCCTGCTACAATAAATTCATAATAATGCTTATAAAATGGAAATAAATTCTTTTAATAATTTAAGAAAATTAGTGGGATCAGTGGAATCACTGCAATGAATATGCCTGAGTTCATATATTTGTTCTTAGGAACAGAATAGCTTCAGTCGGAGTCGGAGTCTGGACAATTTTACCGACTCCGACTCCACAAGCCGAAATTTCCTCCGACTCCTCGACTCCGACTCCGACTCCACAGCCCTGATAGGTACTCCTGAATGTGCTGCTTAAGGATCTGTTAACCAAAATTTGATATCTTGATTATAACTTGTTCAAATGGCTTTTAGAAAATGTTCAAATGATTTTTAGAATATTTTAATTACTTTTGCAATGCTAATTACTCGCCACTTATGGGTTTTCGAGGTCATTTCTTGGTGCTTGTGTATTATTCTGGATGTACTTAAATAGTTAGGCACATTAAATTTTAGCTCAGAGAGAAAAAGTATTTTTGGCCAAAAATCCTTTAAGGCTTTAGACTTACAATTTTTGTCATTTCGGCCAAAAAATGGATTTTGTTCAAAATTTCAGTATAGGTACTCCTGAATGTGCTGCTTAAGGATCTGTTAACCA